CCTGTAACTCCAGCATGCCAGGTTTTGGTGAACAAGCTGAGCTTCCCCTTTCCATCCCTCTGTGGGTCTAAAAAATTCCATTCCATCTCCCACTTCCAGCCATGCAGACTGAAAAGACCTGGTCCCTCATGTGTGCACCGTGTCTGTGTGTCTGGAGCATGGCCACATCTGTCTTGTGGGACACAAGCACTCCCATTCTCCCTGCTCTGGAGGCTAAGGACCAGTGAAAGCTCAGAACTGAAGGGTCACATGTGGCGGTTCAAAGCATTCACCACAGCAGGAGTCTGCTTTCTTAGCTTCCTTCTGCCCCATCCAGAGCCTGCAGAAGGTTGCCAGCCTGTGGGTTCCACACCTTTCTCTATACTATTTCACTGGTGACTTTCCTCCAGGACTCCTGAGTGCTTCATCCTGTATCTAAACCAATGGTCTCTCTGTTGCCCTCTCTGATGATTAGACTACAGTAAGGATGGACTACACAGACAAAGTAGGTAGGAACATCATCATTGCAATAGCAGATTGGAAGAGCTTTACACAGCTGCTCTGGGAAGGAGTGACTCTGAGTTCCTTCAGTGCACACATTAGAAACTTCAGACTTCAAGAACATCAGCCATATGCCCATTTTGACACAAGTTGTAATGGAGCTAGGATTCAGACCCAGGCAGGCCTGGCACCTAGACCTCATTCGGTGTCTCAGCATCTGCTCTTTAGTCACTCAGCATAAATGTATCAAACCAATGCTACCTGCCAAACATTGTTCTGATTGCTGGGACAAATGCCAGGAAACAAGAAAGCTTGGGCAGAACTTGGCAGTGGGAGCTGGCAGCACCTGGTGTGCCACACATGCATCACAAGCAGGCTAAGTGGCATTCCCTCGTCCTAGTGCCCCAACAATCAGAGCTACACTATCCAGTTGGCTATCCCAGAGTAAGTACACAAATGCCATATCTTGTATGTATAACCTAGATCAAGACAAACCCAAGTGAACCCTAACTCCCCAAACTCCTTTGCCTTTCTGGTTTTTTATTACTCCAGTCTAGCAAAACTCTTGGAACAACCCTACCTGTGTCGTCTATAATAGGGGGCATAGGCCACACCATGGAGAGACAAGCCTTCTCCAAGGTGTAGCTTCACATTGGCCTAGGCGAGCCTCTGTTCTTTGCCAGCTGTGTCCCCTTAGTTTCCGTCCCACAGCCAGCCCAGAGCTTTGACTCTCAATGATGCAGCTCACTCCCTCAGGGCTCCAGGCCATGCTCTTCTAGAAGAGGTTCTCCTCCACCAGCATCCTCCTGTCCCTCACCCCCCACCCCAGCCCACAACAACTGTCATCCAAATACTACTCCAAAAGCAGGGAGCTTTATCTTGTCTGTCCCATACTTGGAAAATCATACCCAGTATGTGTTGAACTAGTGAATGGCTGAGCACCAAGTCCCAGTTTTGGGCTTCCTGTGATTCAGCCCTAACCAGCTGGGCGAGAAGTGGCAATAAAAGGGAAAGGATCCCTGAAGATAATGATTTTAAAGGTTTGAAATGGTAACGACTCTCATCACTATCCTCAGATACACTTGGATTTGCACAGATGTGCCTACCTGTAGGAAGCTTCCTATAACATGGGTAAGGTGAATGCTGTAAATTTGGGGGTTGAACCCTGAGAGATCATCTCATCCAACTGCATTTGAGGGAGAAATGTAGATGCAGAGAGCAGTCTTGACTTGCTTCAGGCCATCTATGAGTAGAGCTGGAGCCACACCTTGCTCTCCTAATTTTCAGGATGGACCCAAGTCCTTTTTGGATAATCCATCTCCCACACAATTTGACAAGTTTCTATGGGTCCCAGCTCCCCCTCTCCCACTGTGCTTCTGGGGCAAAAGTGCATGATTGGATGTGCCAACTGCACAAGGGAGAGGTGAACTGGGAAGCTTCCTACCAGACTCACAACCCAGGCACAGGACAGGGAGCATATCCTAGATGTAGTTTGTCTCCCGGATCACAGCACAGGGAAGCCCTTCAGGATCTAAGTGTCAGGTTGGAAGGGGTCAGGATGAGCATCCTGTGCTCCTTGTCCTCCTCCAGCCTGGTGTACAGCAGAAGGTAGTGATGGTTTCCAGCATTGAGCAGGAGAGTGGGAGGTTGACCGCTCCAAAGTATCTCCTGCCTCCTTTTTCTACTGCATATGACCTCAGGCCAACAGTCAGTATCTTACAGCCCAGTGTGTCTGGCAGAAACATGACAGCAGCCTTCTTCATCTCCAGGGAGCCTTGGGGTCTGCCTCCTGTGGAGTCTGGTTGCTCAGGCAGGAGGTAGGGGGCGGGGCTGGGGGAGAATGTGGAGAATGTTTGAGGACCACACTTACCCAATCCTGGGTAGGAAGGGAGGATATCTTTGGAGGAAGAAACAGGAAAAATCAACAGCTAAATCGGTGTCAGCATAGTACTAGGGACTGAACCTAGGGCTTGTGTTTGTTTTCAAGACAGTGTTTCTCTGTATAGTTCCTGTTGCCCAGGAACTCACCCTGTAGGTCAGGCTGGCTTCCAATTTCCTCTGCCTCCCGATTGCTGGGATCAAAGGCATGCTCCAACATTATGCCTGGCTTAACCTAGGGCTTTTTGAATGTTGGGCAAGTACTCTACTCAGAGATACATTCCAGCCCTTTATTTTTTTCTTTCATCTACCATTAACGTGTTTTTAATTATTTAAATTCATTTTATGTACATTGGTGTGAAGGTGTCAGATCCCCTGGAACTGGCGTTACAGACAGTTGTGAGCTGCCATGTGGGTGCTGAGAATTGAATCCAGGTCCTCTGGAAGAACTGATGAGCCATTTCTCCAGCCCCTTGTTAGCGTGCTTGACTTGCATGCCACAGAGCAATTGTGGAAGTCAGAGGACAGCTTTCAGAAATCAGCCCTCTCCTTCCACCATGGCCTCTGGGAGTAGAACTCATGCTGTCAGGCTTGCACAGCAAGCACCTTTATCCCATATCTCCCTGGCTCACCAGCCCTTTCTCACTAAATTGCCAGGGTTGGCTTTGAACTCCCTATGTAGTCTCAGTGGGCTTTGCATTTGTGATCTTTCTGCCTCGGCCTCCCAAGAAGCTGAGATTACAAACCTGTGCCACCATGCATGGCCCTATACTTACATTTTGGGGAGCTGAGTATACGGGGAGAGTATTTATAAGGAAAGGGGATACTATGGGCAGGGGGTGGAAGCTAGATTTCTTTCCTTTTGGGGGGGGCTGTTTTTAGAGACATGGTTTCTCTGTGTATCCTTGGCTGTCCTGGAACTCACTTTGTAGATCTAGCAGGCTGGCCTCGAACTCACAAGAGATCCACCTGCCTCTATCTCCCAAGTGCTGGGTATGTACTGCCCAGTTAGATTTCTTTTTCTTACCACCCAGAGTGATTTGGAGCAACCTGGCCTAACTGTGACACATATTTAAATTAACTTTCTTTTTTAACTGAGTCTTGCTATGTAGCTCAGGTTGGCCTCTCAAGTTCTCAGTCTGCCTAGTGGTAGAAATTAATATGAACCACACCTGGCTTAACACCTATTTAATCCTAGGCTGTGTCTGAGGTACACAGATAGAACAACAAACAAAACAGAAACAGTCCCTGCCTACATGCAGCTGCCACATTAGCAGGGAACACAAATATTAAACACATAGGAAAACTGATAAGCACCATGGCTACAAAGGAAACCATTGCTGCTGAGCCCAGGAGGAGAAGCCAGCATGAGAGAAGCAGGAGGCCACAGCCTCGGAAGCAGCTGGAGTGGCAATCAGAGGGCCTGACAGGGCTTTGGAGATAGGTGGGAGACATGGGCAGGGTCTGGATCCTGCAAGTTCAAGATCTAGAGAATGGACTCTGGCCAGGAGGGTTAACTCGGTGGAGACAGATCTCTGGGAACTGTGTGTTTGGCTAGGTGAAGGGAGGGCAGCAGGGGGGGGGGCGCACAGTGCCATCTGTTCTGGAGATGAGGCAGTCAGGAACTACGGATGAACTAACAAGTGAGGAGACGAGGACTATAACAGCGAACTCCTAGTCTAATGAGCTGAAGGCTTCTACATTTACACTGGTTGCCTTGGATGTGGAAAGGGAAAGCAACTTCCTCCCAGGAGACCTTAAGAACGGACAAAAAGCTGAAGAGGGAGAGGAGCCCAGAAAAACAAAGAAGGGCTGGGTAATAAATAGAGCCTCTCCGTTACCCACAGGACCCTAGGGGTGATGGACGACGTTTTACTCCATGCACCCCCTTCCACTCTTGAGGGAACTAACCCAGGGCAAGTGAATGCCCTCCAGCCCATAACCCTCCTCCTTTCACACTGTCTGGGGTAAATGGTAAAGTTCACACAAAACGTGTAGTGCTTAAGCCTTCCTAGTTATCGCTTCAGCCCCAACCCCCTGCAAGGCTCAGGACGCCCCACCTACCCATATGCCCCTACTCATTGAGTGCCTCACCCCATTGCACCTCTGCATCTGCTCCTCCTGTCAGGTCCATCCTACCCTTTTCTGCCCCAGAACCTGATCTTTCCGTGCATTTATGGAGATCAATGAAAGATCTTGAAACCAGAATGAAGAGCCCTGTCCTTCTCCTGGCTTTTGAAGCAAGTTAACTTTTCGGAGGGGGGGGGTGCTGGTGGTTGCAGTCACAACAAACTCCTCAGCCCAGATTGAGCGCGGGGTGTCTTGCTTTGACCCTGTAGCCCCTTTTAAGTTAACGATCCAGGATAGTCTACTCCTCCCAAGTTTGAACTCTGATCCAAGGCTTGATTCTTGGTGCAAGCACCTTGCTCCTCGGAGCTTCGTCCTATGTGCCCTTCGTCCCATGTGCCCAGTGGAGTCGCAGGGCTCTGCAAGGAGTGGAAGGTTAGGATTGGGCAGGGAAACGTAGACCTGATGAATGACTCAGGAGCCGACATAGGAGTCACGTGACAAAGGCCACGCCCGGGGAACTGCCTGAATCATGTGACACCCAGGCCGAGGAACGTTTTTCTCACGTGACGGAGGTGCCTCGGGTGGACCAATAAGGATGCGGAGGCCGGGCTGGCTTGGGGGAAGGGGACGGCGCGCGGGAAAAGAACTCAAGTCATCCGTGGTGGCTGCTGGGACTCGCTGTGGGTTCTGATCTGTCCTGGTATGGTTGCAAATTAGGGTCGAGTTCAGTGCTGGTGAGCCATGAAGTGCCTGATCACCGGCGGCAACGTGAAGGGTGAGTTTGGATATGCCTGGCGGCGGGACACATGAGCAAGCCGGAAGAGTTCACCTAATCTTTTTCTGCTCTCCTCCCTCAAGTGCTGGGCAAGGCTGTCCATTCGCTATCCCGAATCGGGGACGAGCTCTATCTAGAACCCTTGAAGGACGGGGTAAGAGGCTGGAATTCAGGAATGGGGGCGGTTCAGTGGGGAGTGGAGAGCTTAGACTTGGCGCTGGCTCTTGATCTTGCATAATGATGGTGGGCAGGTGTTTCGGCGCAGTCGTTTTCCTCTTGGGTTTTTGGGGCATCAGTTTGGGCCTTGTCTTCTGAGACTTCATGCGTGTACAGAGGGCAAGTGCCCTCCCTAAAATGACAGGCAGGGTGGTGCTGGAGTAACTTAGGGGGACAGCAAGCATGGCAGATGTTGGGTCGTGGACGACTGGGAAGTCCACATGCAGGAGGTCGTGCTACACAGAAGAGGGGAGGGGAGTTTCCGTAAGCAATGGAAGAGGTCAGCCACGGGATGAAAAAGCAGGCCATTGGGGTGGGGTGGGCCTGCTGTAGCCCCTAACTCACTGTTTCTGTGTCTCAGCTCTCTCTACGGACTGTGAACTCCTCCCGTTCTGCCTATGCCTGCTTCCTCTTTGCCCCACTCTTCTTCCAGCAGTACCAGGTGGCTTCCCCTGGTCAGGACCTGCTGCGCTGTAAGATCTTGATGAAGGTGAGAACCATCCGAATCGTCTCCACAGCTGTGCCTCTGTGCCACGGTACTCAGTAAATAATCACTATCAGTTAGCCTCATATGGGAGCGAATCCATGCAAAATGCAGTGACAGAAAGATGTCTACACTTTAGAGGGTTGTGAGATCTGTGGAGAGGGTGTTGATATTCAAGTTGGTTAGCAGCCCTTCCTGCAAAGGGAACAGCATGGACAAGGCCTGGAAGTGTGAGACATCCTGCATGTGGTGGAGGCCCCATTTAAAGCTTTGTTGGGCCAGTGATGGACCAGGACCTACATGGGATGTAGAGCTGGTCCATGGAGGCACAGTGCCAGACTGATGTCCTACCCTGCCCAGTCCTTCCTGTCCGTCTTCCGCTCGCTGGCGATGGTGGAGAAGACCGTGGAAAAGTGTTGCATCTCCCTCAGTAGCAGCAACAACTATCTGGTGGTCCAGCTCCACTGCAAGTATGGTGAGCAAGCAGCTGGCTGGCCAAGCGTTCCCTCCGTGGGTGTGGAGGGAAATGAAACGAAGGTTGTCAAGCCCACTGAGACCCTTTCTCCTTATCCAGGGGTCAAGAAAACACACAACCTCTCCTTCCAGGACTGTGAGTCCCTGCAGGCCGTCTTCAACCCATCCTTGTGCCCTCACTTGCTCCGTGCACCAGCGCGGTGAGTACACCTTACTTTAAGGTCACCCTGAGTCTCTTCCATTTTGAGGGATTTTGTCATTCTGGGAATGCACCATTTTCTTTTGTGTTTGTTGGTTTGGTTTTTTCGAGACAGGGTTTCTCTGGCTTCGGAGCCTGTCCTGGAACTAGCTCTTATAGACCAGGCCGGTCTCGAACTCACAGAGATCACCTGCCTCTGCATCCCAAGTGCTGGGATTAAAGTCTTGTGCCACTAACGCCCAACTGAATGCACCATTTTTAACAGGCATGGTTAGCTTATGCCTGTCATCCCATCAGTTCTTTGATGGAGATGAGAGGAGCAGCAGTTTCAAGACCAGTGATTTCTAGACTAGCCTAGATAATATGAGACTGCCTCAAAAAAGGGTGTGTGTGCTAGGGAGATACACAGTCTGATGCGCAAGCATGGAGTCCTGGTTTTGAGTTCCAGAGCTCATAAAAATGTGTGGTGTCCCCTTGTAATTCTAGGGGCCGGGGGGTAGACACTGGATTCCTGGGGCTCACAACTCCAAGCCAGTAAGAGACCCTGTCTCAAATAAAACAAAGTATCAGACCTGAGAAGAACCTGAGGAAGTCTGGCTTCTGCTCATATATGTTCATGCAGAATATACACAAAGGCACCTCTTTGTGAGGTAAACTTGAGGGTTCTGTGCACAGTAGACATTTGGGCCCTTACCTGGCTCTTCAAAATCAGAAGCTGCTACCTCTCCTCATTTCCGCTGACAGTGGGGTCCTGCCTTCTGTATCCCAGAGGCCTGGCTTGGTTCTCTGCCGCTCAGGCACACTTAGACTACTTTTCTAGAGAGTATCTGTGATCTGCCTGTGGATCTCATTTGACATCAATAACCTTAAAGGTCTGTCCTTGACCTGCATCACAGCTCCAAAGCCCTCTGATCTGTTCATTCTTCTGAGAGAGTCCCTTTTCAAGCAGCTGCCTCCTAACTTCTGGGGCTCTGTGTAGACTGAGCCAAAGGAAGAGCCAGGGCAAGGAGGCTGGAGTCTAGGAGAGCTGCTGAGCAATTTACCAGTCAACATCAAGAGTGAGTGCAGGGCAAGGAGGGTGTGGGCTCCAGCAGAGTGAAGATCCCGAAGACGAGCTGGACACTGTTCATCCATCTGGCCCAAGGTCCCATTCATTTCTCAGAGTGACTGAAAGTCCCTTCAGGTCCCATTTGTCAGGTCTGTTTGTAGTGATGAGCTGCTTTTTTTGGAGAGAAAAAGGCACTAGGGGATGTTTCTTACTAAAAATTAGCAATTGGACTTTTGTTGAGAAAGGGTTTCTCTGTGAAACAGCCCTGGCTGTCCTAGAACTCACTCTGTAGACCATACTGGCCTCAAACTCAGAGATCTGCTGCCTCTGCCTCTGCTGGGATTAAAGTTGTGCACCACCACTGCCCCACTCAGCAATTGCAATTTTGCCTTATTTTTTTCCCCTCAATACTGACAACAGAACCTAGGACCTTGTTTGTGCTTGTTAGGTACTCTCTTCCACTGTACTAAATTCCCAGCCCCAACTGCTTCTTCTCACATTGTTTGAAATATAGAAGTCAGTAAGCTGCCTCAGCAGTTAAGGGCATTGCTTTAAGCCTGCAAACTTGAGTTGTCAGGTTTAATACCCTCAGAACCTATGAGGTAGAAGAACTCACTCCAGTGGGTTGTTTGCTGAACTCCACATGTTCCCCAAGGCATCTGAGCTCCTCTTCCCTCCACAGCAATGCATACCCACACAAAATAATTTTAAAAATTCAAATGTAGATGCCAGGTGCTCTTCCCACCTCCCGGTGCTAGGGCTGTAACCCAAAGACTGTACATTCCACTGAGCTATATTTCCAGTTCCCAAAGTTGTCTTGAAGCAAATCTAGGTGTTACTCTTTTTGCAAATGTTCAGCAATATGTATCCTTAGAAGAAGGGAGCCAAGGCTGGCATGGTGGTCCACACCTTTAATCCCATTACTTAGGAGGCAGAGGCAGGTGGATCTCTGAGTTCCAGGCCAACCATAGCTATATAGAGACCCTGTCTCCAAAAAAAAAAAAAAAAAAAAAAAAAAAAAAAAAATCTACCCCTTTTCCATATTTGTGTGTGTACAGGGTGTGGCTATTTTATACAAGCTGCTCTTGAGTTCCTGTGTTCAGTAGCTGGGTTGGTATGGTGGTGCACACCTGTGAGCTCAGCTCTCCAAGAAGAGTCAAGAGGGCAGGTGGATTGTTCCAACTTTGAGGTCAGCAAGGGCTACATGAAGAGAACCTGTTTTTAAACAGCCCATCCGGCCCCTCGAAGTAGCTGCAACTAACAGCTGTGTGCACTACACCCAGCTTTGCATTTCCCCCTTTTGTACTAATGCCCTGCTAGTGGTTTCTTGGTCCTTTAGCCCTTTGTTCCTGCACCATGAGGTGCTGCTGCCCATCCTTCTGCTGTGTCTGGGCAATTATTTTTATGTAGTTTTTGACCAGGCAGGTAACATACCTGACTCACACCACTGCTGTCTCGAGTGGACAAAGCGCTCTGTGCCCATCTTCTGTTTCCTTTGTCACAGGGTTCTGGCAGAGGCTGTTCTGTCCTTTCCCCCTGCACTGACTGAGGTGACACTGGGCATTGACCGTGGCCGACGGGTCATCCTGCGCAGCTACCAGGAGGAGGAGGCAGGTGAGGGAATTAGACCTGCCCCAAGAGGGCACAGAGCTGGGGTGAGGCAAGAACTCAAGGACTTTAACCCCTCTTGTGCCTGCCCTGTAGACAGCACCAACAAAGCCATGGTCACTGAGACTAGCATTGGGGAGGAGGACTTCCAGCAGCTGCATGCCCCTGAAGGGATAGCTGTCACCTTCTGCCTCAAGGAATTTCGGGTGAGTTCACCAGCACCATCTCCTGGCCTTTCAACCTGACACAGGCTCTCACTACCTGCTTCTTCCATCCCAGGGGCTCCTGAGCTTTGCAGAATCAGCAAACTTGCCTCTTACGGTCCACTTTGATGTTCCAGGCAGGTAATTCTGGGCTTGTAGACTGGGGAGGAGGTTGGGCTGTGGGATGCCCAGAACAGAGCAGGATGACCTAGCTCACCTCTATTCCTTTGCCCAGGCCAGTCATCTTTACCATTGAGGATTCTTTGCTGGATAGCCACTTTGTCTTGGCCACACTCTTAGAGCAAGACCCATGTTCCCAGAACCTGTGCTCCCCAAATCCTTGCCAGCCAGTACCTCAGAAGCAGGCTCACAGGTAAGGACCGCCACCCAGCTCTCCCTGTCTCTCTACACCTCAGGCTGAGCCTGCTACTGCTAGCTTCTGCACCTCCCCCAGTACACTCTTATATACACGTTACTTCCTGTCAGGCCCCAGCCTCTACAGGGCTTCCAGCCTTCATGGTCATCTGTACTGAGACCCCTCCCATCCAAAGAGGCATCCCCAAGGTCCTGCTGGCTTCCTTCTCTGGCTGAGGCCTCCCCTTTGAGCCTCCTCCCCGGCTAGGAGGGAAAGGGCTGCTGGGAGGCAGGGAGCTGCCTGGTGCAGGGAAAGCAGGTGGCTGGAAGGGCAGGTGGGTTGGGGAGGATGGGCTCAGTGTAGTGGAAGCAAAGGAAGTTTGGTCTGGCTCGCAGCCCAGCATATCCCTGGGCTCTGGTGCTCTCCAGCTCCTATCCCTTGGGAAGGTGAGGGATTGGGCCCCATGTGGCCCTGTTCACAGAACTTCTTGCTTCCCTCCCCCGCTGAGCTAAGCTGGCTCCCAGGATGCTTCCCTCAGGCCCCTACCTGAACTCTGATCAAAGGGGCTCCAGTTCCACCCCCTCCAGGAAGCTCCCACTTAACCCCTGCATCCTTTCCTCCCAGCCAAATCAGGAAGTAATAAAACCAAAAGCTCACCAGCAGTCTCAAGGCCCTCCTCAGAGTCCTCCAAAGTGGGGCCTGCCTCTGTGTCCCTCTTCCTTCTGATACTGTCTCTGCCTACAGCATACCCCACTTAGATGACTTTACCAATGATGACATCGACTGTTACATGATTGCCATGGAAACCACCGTGGGCAGTGAGGGCTCCCGGGCACAGCCTTCCACTTCCCTCCCACCTGTCTCCCAGCCCTCCCATGACCTTGCCCCCGCCTCAGAAGAAGAGGAGGAAGCTGAGCCCAGTACAGTGCCTGGAACTCCTCCACCCAAGAAGGTAGAAGCTGGAGGTTGGGATAGGAAATGTGAGGTGAGGAAGGGAGCAGCTCTGGAACTCACTGCTTTCTGTTCTCTTCCAGTTTCGTTCACTTTTCTTTGGCTCCATCCTGGCCCCTGTACACTCCCCCCAGGGTCCCAGCCCTGTGCTGGCTGAGGACAGTGATGGTGAAGGCTGAACTTGAAAAACCTGAAGCCTGTGCCCAAAGGACCATGAACCAGAAAGGAGCCCAGCCACTGGCAGGGACTGGAACTTAGTGGGGTAGGCCCCACTTGGCTGTATGCTGCAGTGCTGCCTAGGCAACCATGTTTGGTCTGTTGTATATTATTAACCCAACCTGTATCAATCATGTCTCTTTCTGGTGCCCACCTACCACCTGACAGATTCCTTACCTTTCTTACTGTAGAACCACAGGCCAGGCTCTAGGTATCTAGCCAGAGCTAGAAATTTACCTTCCTCTGGCTTGCCTGCCTCTTAAAAAAAAAGAACAAAACCATACAATCACAGTGCTAATTATCCTCTGCCAATTGTGAACTAACTCGCTGTCAAACCTCTGGGACGGTCTGTGGTTGGTAGGAACGATTTCTCTTTCTTTCCCAATACTTGTGCCTTGGCTTGGTGTCCTAACAGCCTCTAGAACAAGTGTGCCACTGGGGTTGCTCTCAGGTAGCTTTGTGCCAAAGGGCTACTGGCCCACTGTCTGAAACAAGTGAGACAGAGGCCATGCGAGAATCCAGCTTTGACCTTTATTCAATAGACCAGATGGGCCACCCCAGGATCTGGCTGCCAGCCCTGCAAGGCTGGAGACCCACACTCTGATCTGCCATTGCCCTGAGCTGCAGCCTTGGCCCCAGGATTCCACTTGCAGCCACCACAGGTGCTGGTGGGAGGGAGCCCCGGAGGATTAGATGCTGCTATTGATTCATTAAAAAAGAAAGGAAAAGACACTCAATGCTGTGTGTTCCCCATGATGGGTGGGCCTGACTGGCCAGTGTAACCCATGGCAGCATGATTTCTGTACAAATAATCCAACATCTGGGGCAGAAGGGCAGCACATGGAGGCTATTTCTTGGCTTTGGCAGAATTGCGGGGTGGGGTGATGGGACGGCCTCCAGGGTTCAGGCCACTGAACTGCCCATACTTCCCCTTGTTCTTGTCAGCGGGCTTGAGGATCTGAAAGAGAAAAGGTTGGTCAGACTCCTGGTGCTGAGCCAGGCAGCCTGACAGCCTCATCCCTACACCCACCTGGAAGGAGCACATAAGAGTCTCATCCACACTCATCATGGCACCAGCATTGTCAAACTCGCCACAATAGTTAGGAGCTGAGAAGAGTGTCACCAGCTGCCTCTTGGCAAAGAACTCATAGCCATCTTCTACCACCTGGGCAAGGATAGGAACTGTTTGGTCTACAAGTTAAGCAACTGGCCACCCCCAGCCTGCCCCAGAGCCACCAGCCAACCTGATGCGCCCTGCAGATGAGGTCCAAATCATGCTTGTGCAGGAACTTGGCTACCACCTCAGCCCCAAAGGTAAAGGAGACACCACGGTCATTCTCGCCCCAGCCTTGAACATCCTTGTCAGGGTCAGACCACAGGAGATCACACAGTAGGCCCTGGTCAGGTACATCTGTGGGCCGCATAATGCGCCTAATCTGCTCCATGGATTGCAAGTCTGGAGACAGGCCTGGAGAGACGGGTATCATTCCTTAAGGTGTAGCTCTTGGGAATCAGCCCTCCCCTCCCCACCACCAATGGTGGTGGCTCTTTTGGACTCCTAAAGTCCAGGTAGGTAGGATTCCTTAGCTTTTAATAATGCAAACGGCAGATCTCCATGGAGGGAAGGGATTAGTGAGTGCCTACCGGATGCCAAATGCCACTACAGGAAAGAGTGCAGACAAACTGGGGTGTGAGTGACTTCCTACAATGAGTGACATCCAAGATGAGATTCGAGGGTAGCTATTCCAGGAAACTGAAAGGGCACAGGCCCCACAGCCACTCTTACCCCCATGGCAGCAGAAGATCTTCTCATCTACAATGGCTGCAATGGGCAGGCAGTTGAAGCAGTCGGTGAAAGTTTTCCACAGTTTGATGTTGTATCGTCTCTTGCCTGCACAGAAGGAAATGGCTCATAGGGAGGACCACCCACCTCATGGAACCCTCAGGCTACTTTCCTATTACTCCAGGGTATTTTGTGGATTACTCTGGCATAGCTGGGAGAAAAGATTGGAAGGCTTGAGTCCCTGCACTCGCTTGTCCTCATCTACCTTCCAGGGTTCTACATGGGTCCACAGGAACCTGAACTCCAGCCTGGCCCAACCTTGATGTTGGAACCCACTCTGGTCCCATGAATCACACCAAACCAAAAGCAGATCTTGTTTATTATACAGATACCCTAAATGCTTAAGTAAGGGATACAATAGAGGGGGTGTCATCGGGCAGGACTGTGGGGGGACTGTAGGAAATGGGCCATCTTCCACAAACCTCCATTCATGAGGCCCTTCCTGAGTGTCAGGGATGATAGCACATTAGGGGTCTTTTGGCACCAGAACAATATAAGGGGCCCATGAAGAGCAGGGAATGTAGTTCTGGGAAGCCAGCAACATTTAAAGCACTCACATTCATCATAGAAGCCATAGATGCGGTTGATGCTGGCACACTCATGGTTCCCACGAAGCAGAAAGAAATTCTCAGGGTATTTTATCTTATAAGCCAGCAGCAGGCAGATGGTCTCCAAAGACTGCTTGCCACGATCCACATAGTCCCCCAAAAAGAGGTAGTTGCTCTCTGGAGGGAAGCCACCATATTCAAACAGCCGTAGAAGGTCATAGTACTGGCCATGGATGTCACCTAGAAACCAGAAAAGACTAGATAGGTACAAGATCTAAACTTCAGCCTAGGGCCAGCAATGGGCTAAAGGAAGGAGAAAACCAGGTAGTGGGGGCTATTTTCAGGAAGCCAAGGGGTTCTGAGCAAGGGCTCACCACAGATCTTGAGAGGCGCCTCAAGCTCCAGAAGAATAGGCTGGCTCAGGAAAATCTCCCGGGATTTGAGACACAGACCACGGATCTCGTTCTCTGTTAGTTGCACATTCTTTCCAGGCCGTGAGCCCTGCACTGGGTACGGAATGGAGTCTTAGGACCCTGACCTCGCAGACAGGATCGGGGTAGGTGTCATGCCCCCCTCAATTCGGGCAACTGTTGCCAGGGAGCCGCCCCGAAACCTCTGCCTCAGGCCTCCAAAGGCAAGACCCGACCCCGTCAGCCTCCCGGGAGGCCCGAGGGAGACGCCTGTTCTCAGGGCCTTCCTCGCTCCAGGACCTCTTCCCAGCTAGCTTCCCCGGGCCCGGAGCGCGTTCCGAAGCGGAGGCGCGCGGACGGGGAGGTGGCCGTGGCCACGGGACCTCAGGGCCTGTCCCCGCCCAAGCGACGCTGGCCCCCGGGAGCCGCAGGCCCGCCCGCGCGCCACTTCCGGACGGCGAGGGGGCCTGGGCTTGGCGCGCGCGCACCTTCCCTACCCCTGCCCACCTTCCAGCAGGCGCCCGATGATGGAGTCCAGGTTGAGCTTCTCGCTGTCGGACATGGCGGCGCCGCCACTCCGGCCCAGCAGCTCCCCGGGCCCTCTCCTGCCTCCCGCCCTCTCACAGCCTCCTTCCGGCCTGGCTCTCCTTCCGCCCGCCCCAGCCCACCCCCTGCCCGCCGCCCCGCCTCCTGGGCTGCGTGCCGCGCCCGCAGTTTCCTCCTCTCTAGCGCCTCTGCTGGACGAGAAGGGCCCGGAGGGTCTCGGGAGGCCGGGCGGAGCCTGGGGGCGGGGTTTGGTAGGGCGGGGTTGAGTTGGCTCCACCCTGGAGGGATCGCCCTGCCGCGCGTTCATGGCTTTATGGCCGGAAATACTGTGGAAATTGTTTTTCTCTCTCAAAAGTCTCTTCTCACCCCAGCCCTACGTAAAATTGTGGTGAGCACGTTAATCGCTGACTTCTCAAACTAAGGCTTAATGGTGAGAGTGGGCTCCAGACCCGGGCCCTACATTCACCTTATAGCGAAACCCATGGACACCTGCTACTGAACTCTGAGCATGTTTTGGTTCAGGTTACCTTGGTGCCTGCTACGTCAATTTTTTTTTTCTTCCGTGAGTGATGTAATAGTATTGCACCGTGTTCATGTTGTAAGGACTTTGTGGAGTATTCAGACTTTCCTAGCATGTACAAGGCCTTAGGTTCCAACTCCGGTTCTGGAAGAAAAGAAGAAGAAAAAAAAAATGGTACTATTTTTTAAACAGTAAAACATTAAGATAAACATGGTGTCATAAACCTGCAGTTCCAGTGCCTGAAATCCTAGCACTCAGGAGTCTGGAGATAGGAGGATCAAGAAGTTCAAGGTCATGCTCAACTACAGAGAGTTTGTCTTTTGCCTAGACTACATGAGACCCTTGTTCCCAAACAATACTCCTTCACTCCCCCCTCCCAAAAATGGAGGGAAAAGCCAAAACATAAAAGCATAATTCTTATTGAAACCATGAATTGGATTTTATATGCTAGTAACCGCAAAACTGATGGTGGCCTGTCCTATTCATCTCTGGCAAGCCAGGGGACTCATCGTACTCAGCATCCTGTAGATGGGAGGAGTTCGTGGCTAGGGCACTAGGGCGAGCAGGAAGAGCCTCATAGAGAAGGGGGGAGCTCCCCCACCTGGGAGGGGCCCCCAACAGGCTGAAGCTGGCTGAGGAGGAAGTGAGAAGAGGAGGTGAGTGAGGTGCAGCAAGGAGGTGAGCTGGGCTGCTGGGGCTAGGTGCCAGTCCTGGGGCTGGGGCTGTAACTGAGGCTTGGCCTCTGGGCCAAGCCCACTCCCCAGTAAAAGGGGAGGCTTGGTCCCCTGTGGCTGAAGACTGGTGTCTGGAATTCCTGTCTTGCAGCCTGTGACACTGGGGTCCAGGGCACAATGGCCCAGGCCCTGGGGGAGGACCTGGTGCTGCCATCAGAGATACAGGATGATTCTAGCTCTCTAGGGTCTGACTCGGAGCTGAGTGGGTCCAGTCCATATCGCCAGGCTGACCGATATGGCTTCATTGGGGGCAACGCAGCAGAACTGGGGTAAGTAAGGCATGGGTAGGGAGATAGGGTACCGAGACTGGCTGTGGAGACTAGCCCAGAACTCAGCCAGTGTCACTCCTCAAGTCCCAGGAGAGTTCTAAGGGAAGAAGGGAAGTGGAGGCAATGTCCCCTACGTCTTTTTTATCCTCTGGAGGGTCAAATGATCCCTCATAGCTGTACCTTTCTTCTTTTAGTCTCTGGCCCAAGAACTCCAGATGGAAATCCATACCTCTTTTATTATCTTCTTCAGGGTTACCTTACACAGCTAATCAGCCCCAGAGACAGACAGAAACTTGCCTCATATCACTCAGCAGATCAGAAACAGAAGCAGATTCTGGCTTCCAGTCCAGGGCACTGTACCCCAGCAACCCCTGTGAATTGCCTCTGTCTCTGTTGTGGGTGACTGCAAACAGGACCTCTCTCAATACACACCTGCTCACCCCTTCAGTATCTCCTGCTTCTATCCCTGTTGAAGTCAAATACCTCTCCTTTAACTGTGATCACCATTGGCAGCTTCTGGGCCACAGATCCCCTTCCAGGACTCCTCAGTGGTCCCCAGCAGTCCAGAATGGGAAGGTATATGTTCCAAGGAATGCTGTGTTGTGTGCCTCCAGGCCTAGCCAACCCCCTGCAGACCTCATCCGTCAGCGGGAAATGAAATGGGTGGAGATGACCTCACACTGGGAGAAGACCATGTCTCGACGATACAAGAAGGTAAGGAAAGAGGGGTCTATATATACTGGTCCCCATGACTCTTAATCCTCCCTGCCTCTGCCAGCCTAGTGGGACCTTGGCCAATGAAAAGCTGTAAGAGAGGTTGACTTCACATAACCACTGGGTCTCACCCACAGGTAAAGATGCAATGCCGGAAGGGCATCCCCTCAGCCCTGCGGGCCCGGTGTTGGCCCCTGCTGTGCGGGGCCCAGATGTGCCAGAAGAGCAACCCTGGCACCTATCAGGTGAGGGAGTTGGCAGACCTTTCCTTCTCAGAGCTCCTTGCCACCCTGAACCCTCACATCCACCTTCCTACCACCCACAGGAGTTGGCAGTGGCCCCTGGAGACCCACAGTGGATGGAGACCATTGGCAGGGACTTGCACCGCCAGTTTCCTCTGCATGAGATGTTTGTGTCACCCCAGGGACATGGGTACGAGGCCAGGGATACCCAGTGACCCCGAGTCCTCAAGATTTACATCCTTGGTTGAGGGAGACTATGGCCTGGGCAGAGGCCACAGAGGGCAGGGAGGGCTGCCTAGGAGACTAGCCCTAATGAGATCTTCTGGCACAGGCAGAGGGGCCTGCTGCAGGTTCTCAAGGCCTACACCCTGTACCGGCCAGAGCAGGGCTATTGCCAGGCTCAAGGCCCTGTAGCTGCTGTGCTGCTCATGCACCTACCCCCAGAGGTGAGTGACCCTGACCCTGCTCTGGCCCTCCATCCCTGTTGACCTGTGCCCTCTGTGATTCTGAGCTCTTAGGCTTCCAGCTCCAGGTGTACTCAGACCCCAGGAACCTGTGGTCCTTTACTTCCAGGCCCTGTTCTAGTGACCAAAGCCTCAAGTCCACCAGTCTCAGTAACGTTAACATCTATCATCCTTGACTTCTAAACTTGGGACCTTTGATCCTGCTTTTACCCCAGGGATCTAGGAGTCTGGAAATTTTTCACTTTGACATTCTGAGTTCTGTACCATGCCTAGGCTTACCAGGAGCATCTACTCACCATAGCTTTCCCTGTCTTATAATTTGTGACACTGAACTGAGTTGGGAGCACCATGGTCTTGGCCCTGGGGTCAGGGGGACCCCAGGGACCTTAGGATTCTGGAATATAAACTCTGAGAGCTTCCCAGCTTTTTCCTAAAGGGCCTTAGGGCACTCAGATATAGAACCCCAAGCCCGGTGATTTCGAACCCCTCACCCCTCTGAGGGGTGGGAGTGGCATGAATCCATGTCCCTGGGCCTGTTCCCTACCTCTCCTCCCCCTCTATGGACCCGTCCGTAATGAGGATTCACAGGCCTGTGCACTGCCCTCAGGAAGCCTTCTGGTGTTTGGTGCAGATCTGCGAGGTCTACCTCCCTGGCTACTATGGGCCCCACATGGTGAGAGGCTGGGTAGGGGTATGAAAATGGGAAGTGAGGGATCAGAAGACTGGGTTTGGGAGTGGAAGTGTGTATAGCACTGGCCAGCCAGGCTGATGAGGAGCCTGGCTGTAGGAGGCGGTACAACTGGATGCTGAAGTGTTCGTGGCCCTTCTGCGGCGGCTGCTCCCACGTGTGTACAAGCACCTGCAGCAGGTGGGCGTTGGGCCCCTGCTCTACCTGCCCGAGTGGTTCCTGTGCCTCTTCACCCGCTCGCTGCCCTTCCCCACAGTGCTGCGCATCTGGGATGCCTTCCTTAGTGAGGGTGAGTGGGGCCTTGGGGGGCTAGCTCACATTTCTGAGTTTGCTGTGCTTGTCGATCCTGCTCTCAGCCCTTTTGGAGCCTTGTGTCACACAGACCTCAGTGTGTCTGTGGAGAAAACAGCCCACCTCACTGACCACCCAGAGTAATGGACGAGAGAGTAATGAATGTGTCACCAGGGCCACAGTGAGACAGAGGCTGAGTGCAAGGATAAGGGTGTCTCTGACGTGGATGGGGCCTGCGGTCGGTCTGTTAAGCAGTAAGCAGACTGGTCGAGGCACATGTGAGATGTGAGTGGTTCAATATGTGCAAGGCCGAGGCATGGTCCACAGCAATAGGAGATGCTCTTCAGGGCCTTGTGCCCTTGGCTCTTCCTGAGTGGCCCTGCAAGCTGGCTCTGACAGCTAGCTTGTGAAACTTTCATTTTGGTGGGGGTGGGGCTAGGAGGTGACAGTACCCAAATTAAGACGATATTTATAGAATGTCATAAGTGCCATGAAAAAAATAAATCAAGGGATGTGACAGGGTGTCAGGAGAGCAGCAGGAGGTGGTTGCTGTTTTTAAAAATGGCTCTGGCTGCTCTATGAAGGAGGTATTCTGAAAGGCAAGCAGGTGGAGGTTAGAGGCGAAGGAAAGCCACCATAGGCAGGCAGATCAGGTTACAGCCAACTCAGGGGACTCTTGGGAGGAAGGACATGGAGAACTAAGGGTAGGAAAGAGAGTGGTGGGCCCAGGAATGGAAGGGACATCAGAGCAGAGCCAAGTTGGACTCTGGGTCTTAGGGTTCTGCTCTATGATGCCCTATATGTCTAGAGATTTCCCTACAGTCAGGTTCAAGTTTGATCTGGTAGTGTAGTTTGCTCAGTAGCTACATTGGTAGAGTGCTTGCCTAGTATGCAATAAGCCCCTGGTCCAATTTCCAGCACTGTCTAAAACTGGGCATGGGCCAGGCAGCAGTGGTCTGTGCCTTTAACCCCAGCACTCAGGAGGCAGAGGCAAATGAATCTCTGTGAGTTCAAGGCCAGCCTGGTCTATAAAGCAAGTTCCAAGACAGGCTCCAGAGCTATACAGAGAAACACTATCTCAAAAAACAAAAAAAAAAAAAAAAAAAAAAAAAAAAAACCCCAAAACAAAAAACTAGGCATATGCCTATGTATATGCCTGTAATCACTGCACTTGAGAAGCAGTAGCAAGAGAATCAGAAGGTCAAGATCCTCCTTGGCTACACAGTAGTTTAAGGTCAACCTGGGCTACATGAAAATCTATCTGCAGATCTTAAAAACAAAACCATGGCTTAAGTACCCAAAGCACACGGGCACCTCTCCTCTAGCCTCTAACCTCAAGAGGCAGGCTGGTCATGGTGGTTCAGCTGATCCCTATCCCCTGTCCTGGGGACAGGCACTGCATAGATCCCTTTAATAGCAATGGTGACATTGCCGGTGGCAATTGTTCCTTTAGGCAGTTGTCACTAGGTCTCCCTGGCATCCTGTCTGCTCTTAGTGGTTCAGAGGGTGCTAGAAAGGGATTGTGAAGCCCTAGAACTGGCCAAACTTTCTCTCTCTCTCCCTCTCTCTCTCTCCCTCCCTCTCTCCCTCCCCCCTCTCTCTCTCTCTCTCTCTCTCTCTCTCTCTCTCTCTCTCGTGTGTGTGTGTGTGTGTGTGTGTGTGTGTGTGTGTGTTTTCTTGGTCTAGGAAGAAATGAAGTTCTGCCCAGAACCTTCCTAGAGTCAGAAAGTGGCAGGCTCAAGATGGAAAGTCCTTAATAGGCACCAATCCTTGAGAAGACAGGATGCTGAGACTCTGAGAAGGCTTGGCATAAGTTTGTTAGCAGCCCCTGGCTCCTGACTGACTGCCCTGCCTGGAAGTGTCTAGCATCCTGAGAATGGCTTGCCCCCTGCAGGGTCCTGTGCCCTCAAATTGTAGTCTTCCTTCTAGGCATCATAATTCACACTTATAATCCCAGCTCAGAGACCAAGGCAGAGGGGGATTTCTGTGAGTTCAAGGCAAAGATGGGTCACATAGTTCCAGGCTAGCGTGGCCTATAGAGTGAGACTTTATCTCAAGAAAACAAAAAGGCAGATGTGTGGGCTGATGAGATGGTTCAGTGGGTAAGAGGGCTTGCCACCAAGCCTGTTGACTTGAGTTTCATTTCTAGGTCTCACACAGTAGAAGAAAAGAATTGACTTCTTTTCAAGACAGGGTTTCTCTGTATAACCCTTGCTGTCCTGGAAGTCACTCTGTAGACCAGGCTGGCCTCAAACTCAGAGATCTGCCTGCCTCTGCCTCCCAAGTGCTGGGATTAATGGTGTGCACCACCACTTCCTGCTAAGAACTGACTTCTACAAGTTCTTTAACCTCCACACAATGTTATGGCAGTCACACAGTTCACTCACACTCACACACACACACACACACACACACACACACACACACACACACAAGTAAATAAATAGCCAGGTATGGTGGCCCACACCTGTAATTTTAGTATTCAGGAGGTAGAGGCAGGAGAATTGCTGCAAGTTCAAGGCCAGCCTGGGCTACACAGTGAGACCCTGTCTCAACAAAACAAAACAAATTGAGTATGGTAGCCATACATTTAATCCAAGCATTTAGAAAGCAATGGCTGGTGGATCACTGTGAACTGGAGGCTAACCTTGGCTATGTGGCAAGTTCCAGCCAGCCAGAGCTACAAAGTAAGACTGTCTCAAAAAAAAAAAAAAAAAAAAAAAAACCCAAGTACTTGTGGTGTCACATGCCTGTAATCCAGCTCTCTAGAGGAAGAGACAGGAGGCTCAGGTCAAGGTCATCATAGGCAGATGGAGTCCTGGTTACATGAGACCCTATCTCAAAAAAAATAAACAAATTGCAGTCTTTGGCCATTTTCCCTGGCCTGAGTCAGGGGAAGAGCTTCGGTGAGATAGAAGGAACATGTCTGAGGACTGCCTAGCTCAAGAACTGAGGGAGCCAGACTGGCTTCCTGGGAGTGAGCAACTCCCTTCCCTGCAGGGGCCAAGGTACTGTTCCGTGTGGGGCTGACACTGATGCGCCTGGCGCTGGGCACTATAGAACAGCGCACAGCATGCCCTGGGCTCTTGGAGACACTGGGGGCCCTTCGAGCCATCCCCCCCTCCCAGCTGCAGGAAGAGACCTTCATGTCCCAGGTGGGTACCTCTCAGCTAGTCATCCTTTGTGGCCTTGCCCATGCTGCACAGCCAGGAAGCCTGAGCCCAGGTGAGAATAAGGAGCTGTTCCTGTGCTCTGAGCTGCGAGCATGTGAGAACCCTAGGCCTCAGCAAAGCTGTGCCTCAGCCCTCAGCCACTTCCTGGGGTGGTGTACTGCCTACCCCATGGGGACCTCAAGGCTTCCTGCTCCCTGCCACCCCAGTCCAGGCAAAGTCAGCATCAACTGTTCCTCACAGGTTCACAGTGTGGCTCTGTCTGAGCGAGATCTGCAACGGGAAACCAGGATCCAGCTGGCCCATCTGCCCAAGTCATCACCTGGCCCAGCACCTCTGCCACAGGCCCGCCTTCCTGGGGCCCAAGCCATCTTTGAATCCCAGCAGCTGGCAGGGGTTCGAGGAAGCACCAAACCTGAGATACCCCGAATAGTGGTACAGCCTCCAGAGGAGCCTAGGCCACCACGGCGCAAGCCACAGACCCGCGGCAAGACTTTCCATGGGCTCCTGACAAGGTCCCGGGGAACCCCTATCGAGGGCCCCTCTAGGTCCCACCGAGGCTCCGCCTCTTTCCTGGACACCCGTTTCTGAGTGTGCAATGTGCACTTAGTGTCATCATGTCTTAATCATCTCAACAGCCATGCCAGTCCCAGAAATGTGCATTGCACTTCTGAGCTGCGTGACTCTGCTCTGTTCCCATCAAGGACCACCTAGAGGAGGGGAGCAACTCCCCACTTTAAGGACTGTGTCAGGCACAAAGATAAAGGACCGTCACTGAGTGGAGCATGTGGGGAGTGTCCCGTACCTGACATTGCCAGCATCAAAACCAGCACTGAAGGAGTGTGGGGTGAAGCTTCTGACTGGGATAGGTGCCCGTGGGCTTCTTGTTGGGGAACCCCAAATAAAGCCTGACTGAGAAGATACTTGGATAGAGCTGGATAGAATATTCCTCTACTGTCCCCCTGGACTTACTGCCATGTTGGCTCCTGCCCACATTCCCCCTTCCTGTCATGGTCCCACACAGGGACTCACCAAGGCTGCCCATTGACTGCTGGGTAAGGTGTTTACAGGGAAAGGAGCCAGTAATAAACCATCAAGCGGCAGCCTCAGGGCACAGATCAGGCTTCCATATAAGCCAGAGGAAGGCTCCCCAATGATAGCTGGGCCCCAGAGGGAACTCCAGCCTCTCTTTGCCTCCCCGAGATGGCTCAAGCCTCCCTGGGGTGGGGACTCTAAGCCATGTTGGTCTCCCCAGCCATATTCCTGGTCCCATCTGTCAAAGAGAGCAAGAAAAGAACAAAGACCTACTGTGCTCAGGACAAAGAACAAAGGTCCTGCCAGCCTTTGTTCTTCCCTGAGCTCTGGTGTACCCCTTGGGACTGCCACCATGGAAACCCTCTCCCACACTCACTAATTGCCCCTGTGGGTGCCTAGAGTGCCTGGGACATGAGCCATTGTCAAGACAACAGGGCTGGTTGTCTTGTCTCCACAGAGTCCTAGTTGCCCTGGCTCTCTGGCTCCCTGGGTAGCTTCCCAGCCAGGCAGGAGTTGAGGGTTTGGAGGCCCATCTTTCCTTGGAAAACCAGCCACTGTCTGTGGGGGATGCGACAGAAATGAGACTAAGCAGAGTGAACGTAAACAGGGTGATGTTCCACTCAAGGAGAAAGGGACAGTGTTGATTCAGAAGGAGACCAGCAATCCACCCCCACCCCAAACGAAGGAAGAGATAAGCCTTATGAGGCAATGGGCTAAGACCTGGTAATCTTCCATGGCTTAAGAGTGTGTTGTTTCTGTTTTTTTGTTTTTTTGTTTTGTTTTTTTTTTTTAATGAATTTTTCTCCTGTGTAAGATTCAGAGTAGAATGCTGGACAGTGGTGACACATACCTTCATTCCCAGCACTCAGGAGGCAGAGACAGGTAGATCTGGGAGTTCAAGGCCAAACTGGTCTACAGAGTAAATTTCAGGACAGGCTTCAAAGCTACACAGAGAAACCCTGTCTCGGGGAAAAAAAATCAGATTGGAGGTCAATGTGTCCTTGGAGGTATAGTGGCACTATCCTGGTCATGACAAAGTCCCTGGTGTCAGCTCCTTGTAAAACAGTGTTGGAGAAAGAGTAGGTATGCAAATGGGAAGCGGCATACCAGCATACACATGTAGAGGTAATACGTGTGGGTCCCTGGTTAGGGTGGGAGCTCCCCATCAGCTATGCTGGGTCTTGGTGTGGTCCCCTGTTGGAATATGGATCTGCAATGTTCTAGTGATGCCAGATGATACCCATGTATAATCCCAGCACCTGGGAAAGAGGAGGTAAGATCAGGAGTTCAAGGCCAGCTTGGGCTACCTAGTAAGACCCTGTTTCAACCCCACTTGCCTATCCCCTCCCCCCAAAAAACAAGAAAAAAAAGTACCCCAGCCCGGGTGTTGGTGGCACATGTCTTTAATCCCAGCACTCGGGAGGCAGAGGCAGGCAGATCTCTGTGAGTTCGAGGCCAGTCTGGTCTACAGAGCTAGTTCAAGAGAAACCCTGTCTTGAAAAAAACAATACACACACACACACACACAGAAAAAAAATAAAAGAAAGAAAAGTACCCAATATATGTTTTTGTGGTACTTGCTAGGTGTCCAGGCAAGCCTGTCTCCTTTGCATGAATCCTGCTCCAGAGGAAGTAGTTATAGAAGGCCAGCAGACCCTTATCTGTAGTTTTCCTAGGGAAACTGATGCTTGGAAGTAAAGTGAACTTGGCTAAAATAAATCCTTATTATCATTGTCACACCCAAGGTTAAGTTCTACTCTTGGCTTCCCATGAGCCAACATTCCCCCTCCCCAACTCTGGACATCCACTTTGATCTACTCTCCTGGATGGCTGCTGTGTTAAACACCTAGAAAAGCCAGGCTTGCTGGTGCAGGCCTATATTCCCAGCTATATGAGACTGAGGCAAGAGAGTCACAAGTTCAAGTCTTACCAAGTGAGTTCAAGGCCAGCCTGGGTAACTTAGGGAGACTACATCTCAGAAGAAGAAAGTAAATAGAGGGCTGAAAACATTGCCTAGTGGAGGAGTACTTGTCTAGCATGTGTGAGACCTTGGATTCATCCCCACTACAATAAAGTAAAGAAAGAATACTTCTAGGGCCTCCTTCCCTTCCTCTTCCTTACTCTCTAGGGTAAACAGTTTAATTATTATTTTATGTGGGGCTCATAAGGCCATTCCTCAGATTCCCTGCCCAGTGTCTCTGCACAGGTCCTGACAGCCTTTCAGGAGCAAAGGAGGCTAGGAAGGAGGCTGAGCATGCTGTCCAAGGCTGCAGTGGGAGGTAGAGGCAGGTAGGACTACCAGGACATAATCTCAGAGCCTCTAGTCAGTATCCAAGCCCTGACAGTGGGGAATCTTTCACATACCTTAAATCTCAGCTCTCAGAAAGCAGAGGCAGGTGGATCTCTGTGATCCAGCCTGGTCTACAGAGCAATGTTCCAGGATAGCTAGGGCTACACAGAGAAACCCTGTCTCCAAAACAAAACAAACAAAACAACAATAACAAAAAGTGCGGCGCTCAGGCGTGCAACCCATGTGCTCCTTTCCCTCTACAGTTCAGCTCTTCTAGGGGACCATGGGGGTGGGACACCCTTTGCAGCTACGAGCTGAGACAGCCTCCCTAGCAGTGGCTTACTGGACACAGACTCTAGAAGTAGATGCTTTCCAACAGGCCCCTCGCTGGGGCACAGTCACTGTCCTTCCTCTGGGAAGCATTCTCTGGTCCTGTTGCCAGCCATCTCCATGGCAACCCTGAGAAGTCAGAGAAGACAAATAGGTTCCTCCTTGTGCAAGCACAGTTCTTTTGTTGTGTGATGGCTTCTCACTATTTAACCTTGTCTGGCCTGGAGCTCACTATGTAGACCAGGCTGTCCTCAAACTCACAGAAATCTAAAGGTCTCTGTCTCTGTTGGGATCAAAGGCATGTGTCACTATGCCCAGCTTTAATGTAAATGCTTGTAATCACACATTCTGATGAGCCTTCTTTCACAAAGCAGTTGACAAAGCAGTTCCAATCCTTCCAACACTTCTGCATTAGCTGGGAAAGGACATCCTACTCCAGGCAACGTGGACCCATGCAATCCTGTCAGGATATGTTGTGTGAGACAGTGGCAATGACTCCTCAACCAGGTGATTTTATGCATGGAGCAACTGAGCAGCCATTTCCTAGGAACCTAGTGGCTCCTTTAAAAACTGTCTGGTGTGGTGGTGCACGCCTTTCATCGCAGTACTCAGGAGACAGAGGAAGGCAGATCTCTGTGAGTTCAAGGCCAGTCTGGTCTACAGAGTGAGTTCAAGGCCAGTCTGGTCTACAGAGTGCATTCCAGGACAGCCAGGGCTACACAGCAAAACCCTGTCTCAACCCTCCAAACAAACAAACAAAACAAAAAACTGTCTGGAAATGGGTTGAGTCAGGAAGCACACCTAAGGTGTTCAACCTGTGGAGACACGCTGGGATGACACCTAGAGGTGTCTGTCAACCTGTATTGTCACAAAAGATATGAACTGGGACAGGAGCAGGGCTCACAGGTGAGTGGAAGGCCAAGTGAATCCACACCCTAGGATGGGGGCTGGGGAAAACTCCTGATCTCCATCTTGTACTTTCACCCACTACAAGTCTCCTATCCCCATAGACTCCCAGGTTCAGAGCTGAGATTTGAACCTCCTGTCAAGTTCTTGAATAGGAAAGACTTTCAGGATCTTTATGAGCCTCAGTTTTTCCCCCTACAGATAATGGGCAGATTACCACTCCCATTCCAGCTTCCCTTCCATAATGACATAATGGCAAAATTATGTTTTCTTACTCTATCCTAACCCTGCCCAGCTTAGCCTTGGGTGACATTACCTCTTCCCTGGCAAAGACATCGAGAGAGCTCCTCCCCATGTCTGACCCACATCTCAATGCCCTAAGCCCAGAGTGGTTACCCAACTTGGATTGGTCACCCTTTCATAACTCTTGAGACAGAGATTTCCCTGAAATAATATGATTTATTGAACTATCACAATGATACTGGCCAGAATACTGGAGCAGTTCTGAGGCTGCCCAGCAGCATGGTTGGATAGCTGCTGGAAAGATGGCTCCAGAATCTACAAAGCCAGACCATCTTTATCATGAAAACTGGGAGAAAGAAAGTATAACTGATTGATGTTGACCATGGATGAAAAGGACTGGGCTAACAGATTGGGCAAAGTTTGGGGTGAGGGAGCTCTAATGCAAAGAGACATAGGCTATCATTTTTAATCGGGTGTATGTGTTTGCGCATGTGCACACTATAACATGTATGTAGATGTCAGAGGACAACTTGCATGAGTTGGCTCAATGGCTTCCAGGTACTGAACTCAGGTTATCACACTTAGCAGCAAGTGTGTTTGTCCACCGAACTATTTTATTAGCCATTTTTGTTTTTCCTGCATGTTTATATGTATACCATTGCTTTACTGATGTCCAAAAAAGGTCAGAAGAGGGTGCTGAATCCTCTAGAACTGGAATTGCAGACAGTTATGTGCTACTGTGTAGATGCTGAGATTTGAACCCCGGTCCTAAGGCAGAAAAGTGGGTGCTCTTTTAACTACTAAGCCATACACTGAGTCATCTCTTTGACATCTAGCTTTTAACATGCTAAGGCATCTGAGGCTGCCTTGAACTTCTAACTCTTTGTTTTGTTTTTGTTTTTCCAGACAGGGTTTCTCTTTATTGTTTTGGAGCCTGTCTTGGAACTAGTTCTGTAGGCCAGACTGGCCTCGAACTTACAGAGATCCACCTGCCTCTGCCTCCCAAGTTCTCGGATTAAAGGCATGTGCCACCAATGCCCAGCTTGAACTTTTAACTCTTGTTCCTGTCTCCATCTTTCAAGTGCTGAGATTGTAGGTGTGTACACAATACTTGGCTAT